CTTAACCAGAACCAGAATCAGAAACAGAACAAGAAACAGAACCAGAACCAGAAACATTTAGTAACAGAAAGAGAACCAGACTCAGAAATAGAAACAGAAAGAAAAACAAAATCAGAAATAAAAACAGAAACAGATCCAGAAACAGAACCAGAAAAAAAACGAAAACGAAAACAAAAACAGAAACAGAAACAGAAACAGAAACAAAAAGAGAAACAAAAACAGAACCAAACAGAAACAGAAACAGAATTAAAAACAGAATCAGAAACTAAAACAGAAACGGAAAAAGAAGCAGATACTTACCAGAAACAGAAACTGAAAAATATACATAAACAAAAACAGAAACAGAAAAAGAAAAAGAACCAGAAATAGAGCCGGAAACGGAACCAGAAGTGAACCATAAACAGAAACAGAACCAGAAACAGAACCAGAAGCAGAAACAAAAATTGCAACAGACACGAAAAATGAAGCAGAAATATAAAGAGAAACATAACCAAAAACAGAATCAGAATAATAAACAGAAACAGAAACAAAAACAGAAGCAGAATTAGAAACATAAATAAAAATTGAAACAGACCCAAAAACTGAAACCGAAATATAAAGAGAAACGGAACCAGAACCAGAATGAGAAACAGAACCTGAAACAGAAGCTAACCAAAAAACAACCAGAAACAGAAAAAGAACGAGAAACATAAACAGGAACACAAACAGAAACAGAAATAATAACAAAAACAGAAATAGAAACAGAAACAGAACCAGAAACATAAACATAATAAGAAAAAGAAACAAAAAGAAAAACTGAAACTGAAACATATACATAAACAAAAACATAAACAGAAACAGAAATAACACCATAAATAGGGCCGAAAACAGAACCAGAAACTGAACCAAAACAGAAACAGTACCAGAAATAGAAACAGAATCAGAAACAAAATCTGAATCAGAACTAGAATAAGAAACAGAACAAGAAACAGAACCAGAACCAGAAACATTCAGTAACAGAAAGAGAACCAGAATCAGAAATAGAAACAGAAAGTAAAACAAAAACTAAATCAGAAATTAAAGCAGAAACAGAAACAGAGTCAGAAACATAACCAGAAATGAAAAACAAAAACAAACACAGAAACAGAAACAGAACGAGAAACAGAACGAGAAACAGATACATAAACAGAAACAGAAACAGAACCAGAAAAAAGAACCAGAAGCAGAAACAGAAACAGAATTAGAAACAGAATCAGAAACTAAAACAGAAACAGAAAATGAAGCAGATACTTAACAGAAAGAGAAACTCAAACATATACATAAACAAAACAGAAACAGAAACAGAAACAGAACCAGAAATAGAGACAAAAACAGAACCAGAACTGAACCATAAACAGAAAAAGAATCAGAAACAGAACCAGAAGCAGAAACAAAAACAGGAACAGACACAAAAACTGAAACAGAACCAGAAACAGAATAAGAAACAGAATCATAATAGAAAAAGAAACAGAAACAAAAACAAAAGGAGAATTAGAAAC